AGCAAAACGCTTGCAAATGTTTGATGCGAATGTGGGCGGCGCACAGGCGAGAGCCATATTTTGAAACGGAGCCGCCCTTAATCCGCGAGGCCCTTGAAACTTATGAAGATACTGCGGGCGGCGCTGAAGCTAGAACCACATGTTGAAACCGACCCGCCCTCAATCCGAGACACTCTTGCAACTTGTTCAAACGAATGTACGCGGCGCTAAGGCGATAGTCGAATTTTGAAAACGATCCGCCCTCAATCTGCGAAGCCCGTGCACTTGTCCAAACGAATGTTCGCGGCGCTAAGGCCAGAGCCACATGTTCGAAAATGACCCTTGCTCAATCCGCTAAACTTTTGTACGGTTTTCAAGCGAATGTGCGCGGCGCTAAGGCGAGGGCCATATTTTGGAAGCGTCCCGCGTTCCATCTGTGAAACTGTTGTCAGTTTTGAATATTCAGGCTCATACTTGGAACTGAAGTCTCAGGCGAAACGCTCAGCCCGCTTTTCGGACTGGCCTCGGGGTGCGACAGGGAGGAGTTGTTCAGACGGAAAAGGAATGGCGGGAGGTGGAGAAGGTGGGCGGACCATACTGGAGGATGGGGCAGTAATCTCCTGGTCGTGCATGCAGTGCCGTCTGGCGTTGTCCATGGGAGCGCTGGGTGGGCTTGCACTGGGGCGCAGCGCGGCGGAGCTGCTCGCCTCCCCTGCCTGGCCGTTCCCACTCCCACTCCTCCCGCCTCGCCTCTCGCCTCTCCCCCTTCTCTTTCCATCCCCCCTCCTCTGTCAGACCTCCTAGACATGTTCCAGATGCCTGCGGCGAGCCTGGCAACCGCAGCAGCGCAGCAGAAAAAAGGTCGAGTTCAAGGTCCATTCCAGTGCAGTGCCATGTCTGAGCCAGCACGGATCGTTGGGTCGGGGACTTTTGTTTGGCGTGTCGCGCCGCCAGTTCTGGCCCAGCACGTTTCGGAGCGACACGCTATCCACGTCCCAGTCTTCAAGCGTCAACGTCCCGAGCCTTTCCGAGCCTCCCGCCCCGCGAAGCGGAAAGACACGCTACCTAATTGCAGGGCATAGCTTATCGCATTGGCCGCCGCCGCGACACGCTAAGCAAAAGCTCCCGACCGTAAACTCACTACGCTTGTCCACAGCCTCGTTCTCCCCCTTTCTTTACCGTTGGGAGCTTCCTGGCGGCCTCGTCGAGGCTTTTTTTTGGGGGGGGGCCCTCCGCGGTCCCGTCAGGGGGGGCAGTTGAGGTTCTTAATGGGTCTGGCCTGGGCGCGAGTGTTCCACCGCGCCCTCCCGAAGAGAAGATGCCCGGTGGAGCCGTTTTCGTGACGCCTTGACAGTCTTAGAGCCGCCGTTGTGCAGTCTCAGGTCGTCTTCGGGCGTATTGATCAAGTATCACTGCCGAGGATCCCCACGTCCTTATGTAATGTCAGGTGTGTTCGTGTATCACGTTGCACCCCATATTTCCAGTCTTTTCATTCAAATTCTCTTGAAACTGTCATCCTGGCGTGCTGAGCCAGCTTGAGCCAAGGTGTTACAACGTTGGGTGATACGAAAGCCTTCGCCCGTTTGCCGTGCTGCAAGTGATGGCAGATGGCATTTGTGAGCTTGATAACTCCTGACGAGACCGCTTTTCGCCCCGAGACCGCTATTCATCCTGCCTGCTCCCCCTGCCTCCTCCTCATCTCCTCCTCCTCCTTCTCCTCCTCCTCCTCTTCCACTGGTGCCGAGAAGTTGCCACGCTTGCCACGATTTGAAATCGCGCCGCGCACAGCCCCCCCACCCCCTGCGCGCCCCCTCTGGTGCCGAGCAAGTGCCACGCCCGCCACGCGTTGCCGGCGTACGGCGCACAGCGTTCCAAATCCCGTGCCCCCCCTGCCCATTCCCTGCAACGCCAAGAAGTGCGACGCCTGCAGCGGATGTAGTGACTGTGCACCGTGCCGCACCCTGTTGTGGCATCGAGGACTTGCCGCGCCGCGCCCTGCAAGCCTGCAACGGAGAGAGTCAGCATCCACGCGTACCTCCTGTGGCGTTGAGGAATTGCCACCTGGCGAGCCTGAAGCGGATAGCGCCACCACCCTTTGCGCACCTTCCGGTGGTGTCAAACATGCGACCCATGCCACGAGCTGCGAATCCTATGCGTATTTGCTGTGCGGTGTGCGTGCCATGTGAGTGAATCGGTCTGCGCGTATTGTGTGTACGTATGTATGCATCTGTGTATGTGTGTGCTTGTGTGTGAGTGTGTAGCTGTGTGTGGACGTGTCTCCCATTTGGGTGCCGTGTATGTGTTGCATGCGTCTGGCGTGTACGAAGCAATGACCGCGCCAGATGTTTTCCAGCGTTGTATGATGTGTGTGTGTGAGTGTGCATGTGCGGCTGTGCGCGTGTGCGTATGTCATATATACATGTGTGTGTGTGCGTGTGTGTATGTTTGTGCGTTGCGCGTCATGCATGTCTGCATATGTTTGGTGTGCGTACGAGCGATCAGAAGAAGAGGAAGGGGGTGGGAGGGTGGGAACGAGATTGCGACGCGGGTGGGGGAGACAACCATTACCCTTGTTATTATGCGTGGCAGCGTAAGAACTGCACCGCCATGAATTGTCGGCGATCCGTGTAGATGTCTTGGATCGGAGTGCGCCATTGGGCGGCGCTGGAGGCAATGCTCGGGGGTCCATCACGGATCCAAGACATCAGCGCGGACCTCAAACGTATCCTGTTTATGCAGTGTTTCTTTTCTTCTATATAAGCGACCTTGGGCCCGCCCTGGGGCTCTCCAGGGCCAGTTTAAGAGATGCGTATTTGTTTTATATAGACATATAGACATACACCTTAGGCGATGCTGAAGAAAACCTAAGTTTTCGGCCAGAGTCTCGATTATTCTTAACGTTTCCATGTAAATCTTCAGATTTTAATGGAAACGTTGGGTTGTTATCCAAAGTCTGAGACTATGAATTTCTTAACCCATGATTTCTTAAGCATTTCGCGTGGTGTAACATCTGAGGGTATCGCGAGCCCATCTTCAGCGGAAGAGCATCGTAGGCAGAAAGCGGTACCCATCGGCATTTCAGTGCTCATCACCTGTTAGGGCCTCGCTGTAGGCGTCTTTGGGCGTCTCTTGGAGGCTTCTTTTGGAACACCCTGGGGAGATCTCGGCGTCTTTGGTGGCTCGCTGGGCCGTCTTTGGTTGGTCTTGGGGCGTCTTGCAGCCATTCTGGGGGAGTCCTCGACTGTCTTGAAGCCGCCTGAAGTAGAAGAGCAGACAAGTGCGTACGCTTAAACTCCGGAGGTCCGGGCAGCTTTCGTGGATCGGCGATGGGACCTCCTCACTGGTGCACGAAACGCGCAAGGGGTGGCGCCTGAGGCGCCGCCAGGGGGGCAGAGGCGCGACATCCAAGAAAGCCGCACAGAGGCCGTCAGAGCGCCGGGGAGCAAAAGAAGTGGGGTCGGTCCGAATACCTCAGAGCACCAACCTGTGTTGGGTCAAGGCTTTGGCGACTCCAATAAAACAGCTTGTGTTGTGTCACGTCTTCTTGTGAAGTTCATGGCCCTTCCGAGGTGGGTGAGAGGAGCTCGAGCATGCTGATCTACACGCGCAAGATTGGGGCAGGCGATTAGGTCATTCGCTCAGACGTGTTCTTACAGTTGCGCCGTGCTGCACGTCTGCGTTATGATCTGCAGCCCTACTTCATCCCGGGCAGAAGACCGTAGCGGGACACGGCTCAGCAACGCAGAATCCATGCATAACATCGGGGGGATGGTGATTGATTGGGCAGGCACGCCACATTCGTCCTGCCAGTAGGTGCCACACGGAAATGTATTCTTCCCAAGTGGCCCCAAGGACCCACAGAAGTTCTGGGGCACGTTGGGGCTCTGAACGCTCTGCGACGAACGTGTCCCGAGATTTCTTGCATCAGTATTTATCTTCGCATGCGCTTATTGTAGCGGGACGTGAGTTAGCAGAGCAAAGGGCAGGTAGAAAGTTCCCAGGGTGGTTCTTGCTGTTGGCCAACACGAGCTTTCTTAAAGCGAAGCAGATGCGAGAGCTCCAGTCTAATCGAACGTGGCGCTCCCATGTACACATAGACAGAGGGAGAGAGAGAGAGAGCGAGAGAGAGAGAAGGATCTATGTACACATAGAAAACGAGAGACAGAGAGAGAGAGAGAGCGATACCACGCATCCTATTGCGTAAATTAAGTTGCAAAGCCCACGCTCGTATGAGCACTGAGCTTTGACGTGATGACCGACTGGCATCCTCCCATCTACTTGCGCTCCCTTCGAGCTGGCCGTAGGCCAATGATTGCTTACCCCAGGGTTGCAACCGTCCCGCAGTCGGATTCAGCTCGCATGCGGTGCGGATGGTGTGTTGCTTGTAGATGGTGTGCATATGGCGTGCTTCTGTTTTTTCCGCCACGTCAGAGTGTCGGTGCTTGCATTGGTGCCGAGGTCGGCGACTGGCTCACGGACGAGTGGAGGGCTGCGCGCGCCGCTATGCCGCAGTACCGTCCGACGAAGTCTACGCGCGCACCCCTGCCAAGACTATCGATCCCAGTCTTCATCATCATCTGACATATTGCAATACCTTGCTGGTCCAATAGTTTGGTTTGAGTCTCGTGGGTGCGGCTGCAGGGGAGCAGGCCGCTCAATCCGGTCATTCTTTCATGCAGCTTTGAGTTCTTCTTTCGTGCGGTCAGTACATGTTGGCATGTGACCTGCGAGATTTGGCCATCGCCTTCATCAGCCAGTATCTGTCACACGCATGCGTATGATTCTGCTGCCCCCCCCCCACCCCACGGCAACTCAGCACCATGTTGCCCACCAGTCATGGGCCCGCTCCTTTATACGCTTTCCTGCGTGCTCGCCGAAGAGTGGATGTTTGTTGGCTCCATTCTTCTGGCTCAGGCCACCTTTCCTCGAAGGGGCGAGGAGAGAGGGCCGATCTTCTTGTTCTCCTTCCTGTGGAAGGGCTGCTCCAAACCAGCCTCGCGTCGCAGCCTTCCTTCCATTAAATGGCAGAAGGTTCGGCTGGCAAGAAGTCGACGTACAAGGCCTCCACCTACGCCGCGAGTGGCCTTTGGCTGGAGCACTCCAAGGTCGAGTACGCTGCCAACCCGAAGAAAGGAAAGTCCTTCGACCGCTACGCAGCCTACGAGAAGGCAGCGACCATCGGCGAGGCCCTGAAGGCTGGGGCGCTGCCGGCCGATCTGCTGTTCGACTACGAGAAGGGCCACCTCAAGGTCCTTGGGCCACTGCGGGAAAAGCCCTTGGACATTTTCACCCTGGAGGACATCAACGAGCTCACGTACACGGACAAGGTGCTTTGCCGGTATTCCTACTATTCGCAGCCTCGAGACGACCAGAGCGGCGCTGGTAAGATCCAGGTGCTGGAGGAGAGCCTCAAGAAGCAGAGGGCGACCATGAAGAGGCTCGGGAAGATCGAGCTGGCGAGGCAGCTGGACATCGGGGACGTGGACAGCCTCAACGACTCGGTCGGCTTCTGGGAGACGCCCGTGATGATGGCCAAGCGTTCCGTTGCGGCCGCTCAGGCGCAAGAGTTTCTCGACCACGCGGATGCGACCGGCGGCAAGATTACGGATTTCGAGGTCCTACAGGTGCTGCGCCTCTGGGACTTCCGGGAGAACGAGACCAGGAAGTTCGGTAGCAAATCGTGGGAGCCTCGTATGCCCTCTTAATTCCGCTTCCGGCGTCGATTAGCGTCTGGTAATCGATGAGGCAGCGCCGATTTCGCGTCGATTAGCGTCGATTGGCGTCGATTAGCGTCGATCTAGCGTTGATTAGCGTCGGATAGCGTTGATCGTCGCCGATTCGCAAGGGCCAACAAGATGGTGTGAGAGGCTCCCATGAGTGGCCACCGAACAGGAAGAATGTGATGAGGGAGGGGCAGACGTTCGTCTACTCAGACACCATAGGCTTTGTTGCGGACCGCACCGGGCATATTCTGGCGAAGGAGGAGACGAAGCGCTATCCACAGGTCGGTGTGCTTTTCAACCGTTGGCTCAAGGACCACATCGACAGGGAGCATCTGGGCACCGACTTTGTTTACACCTCCATCAACATCAACAAGAACTATGCGGGAAGGCTGCACCGCGATGGGAACAACGTGGGGCCCTCCTTCCTGAAGGCGTTCGGGAATTTCAGCGGTGGCCAGCTGAATTACTTTCCAGAAGATGACCGCAGTTTGAAAATAGAGGACCTCGACTCTATGACTGACCAGAGCTCAAAGATCGATGTCAAAAAGGGGCTGCTCTTGTTCGACGGCAAACGAGGGCACTTCGTTGACGATTTCGAAGGTGAACGCTACAGCCTAGTCTTCTTCACGTGCCCACGCTTCGAGAAGGCGTCGGACGAAAGTAGGCAGTTTCTCCAAAAAGCAGGCTTCCCCCTGCCGACCGCCGCGACAATGGAATCCGTCATGGGTTTGCTCCGAAAGCCGAAAGGGTATGGCGACAGCGGGAAGAAGGGGCAGAAAGCGGAGCAAGGCAAGACCACGGCCCCTAGCCTCCATGACGCGCCGTGGATCTATTATTCTTCGTGCACCCCGGAACTGGATGCGGCAGAGGCGAGGGCAGAGGAGTTCTGGAACCGCAACGGCCTTAAGCAGGCCAAGGTCGACGAGGGGTCCAAGAAGGTCGGGAAGATAGCATGGGAGCACACCAAGAACGCGCGGGATGCGAAGTGGGTCGACACGATGTCCTTCCAGCTGCCCGGGAAGCCTTCTCGCAAAGACCTCATCTTGGAGGGCCACAAGAACCTGGTCGACGCCGTCGCGTTCCTCAGCGCGGAGGAGGCGAAGGCGCCCAAGGCGGTGGCCAAGGAGGGGTGCTGCGCCATCCTCTCCAACCGCACCAAGGTCTGGTACGCTCTGTACGCGCGGGGCCACAAGGCGCAGGCGCTGGCGGCCTTCCGTGTCGAGGCCACAGGGGCGAGACAGGCGTGCGCGAAGCCCGCGGCGCCGCAGGCCACCCCGCCGTCTAAGCGGGCGGCACCCGCGGGCAGGGAGGCGAAGATCGCGCAGAGCTCCGAGAAGCGGCGCCGGACCAAGGCATGACGCAACCAGGCCGCTGGTGAGCCCCAGACGGCGCATCAGAACTCTGAGCTGCAGGGGCACGGCTCCCGTGGGGTTGCCTCTGCGTGTCCACCCGCGCGTGGCCGCCGCAGGCTTCGCGGGCGCTATTCCAGCTTCCTCGTAGGTCGCTCTGCCGGGGTATCCAAGAGGCTCTGACGCGCGGGGTGCGCACCGCCTTTGGAGGGATGCAAAACAGAAGGATGGAATTTCTGAACGTTTCGCGTATCCCCTCCAGCTCTTCCAGGAACGATGCCTAGGGGAGCTGCCCTTTTCGTGGGAGTGTGGCATCGTCAGGATACCCCGAGGAGCCTCAGTGAACCAGAGGCCTCTTGCCCTGGAGTTGCCTGAGATGTCTCCTGGGGGGCTCTTGGTGACCTCTCAGGGCGTCTTGGGGGCTCTTGCGGGGTGGCCTCTTGGGGCCAACAAGACGCCCAAGAGGCCACCAAGACGCCTCTTGGAGCCTCTTCGCGGCCTCATGGGGCCTTGTTGAGGCCCTCTTGGGTGCCTTGTAGGCCTTCTTGAGGCCATCTTGGAGGACGTGGATGAAAGCAGGAGGGGCCTAAATGAGGGCCCCCCCTCTGGAACCCCACATGTCGCCTCTTGGCGCCCTCTGGGGCGCTCTTGGAGCGTTCGTGGGTGCTCTTGGGGCCGTCTTTGGGCCCTCTTCGGGCACTTCCCTGGGGTCTTGCCGGAGCCCCGTTGGTGCCATCTTGAAGCCTCGGAGTGCCATGAGTAGCGAACAGATGAAACGGCAAAACAAACTGATGTTCCGTAACCGTTGGCAGGATTTGGGCCTCTTCGGGGTGTCATGAGGGGCCCCCGACGCCGATTGGACCCGTTTTGGAGCGGTACCTTTTGAAGTACGTTGTAAGCCATCTTGAGCGATATCGCGCTATCTTGAGCCATCTTGGAGACCATCTTGTCCTCTATGACCCTTTGGAACCATCTTGGGCGCTCTAACGACCCGCGACCCCCTCGTCCAGGTCCAGGGGATGTTGGCAGGCCCGCTGGTTGGTCGGCGAGTTGGCGATTGGTTGGTTGCCTGGTTTGTTGGTTGGCTGGTTTGTTGGTCGGTCGGTTGGCTGGCTGGTTGGTTGTTTGGTTGATCGGTTGGTTGGTTGATTGGCCAGCGGATTGGTTGGTTGGTTGGTTGATTGGCCCGTTCATTGGTTGGTTGATTTGTTGGTTGGTTGGCTGATCGGGAAAGCGGTTGGTGCATTGATGGGTTGGATGGACCCGTTTGCTTATGTTTTGCGAGGCGGCGCAAAGGAGCGAAGCACATACAATTCTACGTTGCACGTCATGTGGTAACGCAGGAGCGGAACACATATTAGTTCATCATTTCCGTCACGCTGCAAAGTCAGTGGGCAGAACACATGTTACTCCACTGCGCCTGCCGAGCGGCAAAGCAGAAGGGCTGAGCCAATACCAGTCTACCTTTTTCGTCCAGCGGCGTCACAGGGGGCGAGACATGTTTTCAATTCTAGTCGCCATGTGGCAGCGTAGAGGGGTAGACCAAATACAACTCCATGCGATACGCCACGCGACAACACAAAGGGGCTGATACCATACTATTCTACTTTGGTCGTCGCGTGGCAGTGCATGGGGGCGGACAGCATACGATTCCATTTTGCCCGCCACGTGGCAACGCAGTGGGGGGCTGACAACCACACTATCCGACGTTATTTGTCATGTGGCGACGGAGGGGGGAACAGCCACACATTTCGTGCTAGTCGCCACATGGGAGCGTAGGAGGAGCGAACCATGCACACATATACGCTGTACTGTACGTGGCAACCCAAAGGGGCTGAGAACATACTATCCTACTTGGGTCGTCACATGGCAATGCAGGGGGGCGGGCAGACACCATACGAGCGCACTTGACTCGCCACATGACAGCGCAGGAGGGGCTGACACAACACTCTTCTATTGTAATCGTCACGTGACAGCGCACAGAGGCGAACAACCAAAACATGCCAATCTAGTCGCCACATGACAGCGCAAACGGGGCGACACACCTGCACAGATACGCTATACTTCACGTGGCAACGCACAGGGGCCTAGAATCTATCATTATCGCAGACGCCCACGGCGAATCACCGCCGCCCCCTGCCTTCTGGAATCACCCATGTGGCCGGGCGTTGTGGCAAGAGCTCTGCCAGGCTATCGGGCCATGTGTTCCCCCAGCCGTTGTAGAGACCCTTCGGGGAACACTTGGGGAGGATGGCGGGGAAGATCCGGAGAAGGAGGATGAGGAGGAGGAGGAGGAGGAGGAGGAGGAGGAGTAGGAGGAGGAGGAGGAGGAGGAGGAGGAGGAGGAGGAGGAGCAGGAGCAGGAGCAGGAGGAAGAGGAGGAGGTGGCATCTTGGGAGCTTCTGGGGGCACTCTTGAAGCCTCCAGGGGGAGCCTTTTGGAGGCATCTTGGGGGCCTCCTTGGGCCTCTTGGGGGCCTTTGGGGGCTTCGTGGGGGCCTCTCTGGCTGTCTGCGGGCATTGCTGTCCTTACCGGCGCCGTCGGAACCCGTCTTGGAGGCCTCTCTGGGCCGACTTAGGGCCCTCTTGGGGTGCTCCAGGGCCGTCTTGGAGGCCATCTTGGGCGTCTTCGAGGCCTCTTGGGCCGTCTTGGGGCCCTTCTGGGGCTGTCTTCGGGGCCTCTTGGGCCGTTCTGGGGCCATCTTGAAGGCCTCGTGGGCGACCTTTGAGCTGTCTCGAGCCGTCGGAAGATCGAAAAGCAGCACGTGCCAACATCTTCAAACAAACCTAAGGAAACGCAATGATTGTTGCCTTTTCGGCCCTTCCTGGGGGCCCTCTTGGGGGCCTCTTGGGCCGTCTTGGAGACCTCTTGGGGGCCTCTTGGGCCGTCTTGGGTCATCTTCGAGCCATCTTCGGCCGTCTTGATGGCCTCCTGGCCCGTCTGACGCCGTCGGAAGCCGTCTTGAGGCCCTCTCTGAGCCGACTTGGGGCCCTGTTGCCGTGCTCTTGGGCCGTCCTGGAGGCCTCTTTGGGCGTCTTGGAGGCCCCTTGGGCAGTATTGGGGCCCTCCTGGGGCAGTCTGGGGGGCCTCTTGGGCCGTTCTGGGGCTCTCTTGGAGGCCTCTTGGGCGGTCTTGGGGCGACCTTTGGGGGCTCTTCGGCCGTCTCGGGCCGTCGGATAGCCGAAGAGAAGGAAATACCGAAAATCCTTCGAACACAGAATGACAATCAATGATATTAGCCTCTTCGGGTTTTTTGGGAGCACCTCTCGGCGGCCTCTTGAGCCGTCTTGGTGGCCTCTTGGGCACCTCTTGGGCCGTCTTGGAGGCTTCTCGGGCGGACTTGGAAGTATCTGGGACCCTCTTGGGCCGTCTTGGAGGCCATCTTGAACCATCTTGGGCGAACTCAGAGGCCATCTCGGGCCATCTAAGCCGTCTTGGAGGCATCTCGGAGGCCATCTTGGGCCAGCTGGGCCGTCTTGGAGGCACCTGGGGCAACCACCCGGGTATTTTCGGCGGCTTTCCGCGAGGCTGGCGGGATAGGCCGGAGCCCCGTGGGGGAGTCCTTTTGGACAAGAACCAAAACCAAGTCGTAAGAAGTCCAGCTTGCCTGGCACCCCTGTGATAAATCAACAGGGGGCGGCGGACATAACGCCCTTCGGCCCATCCCGCCACCGTGCCTGGATTGTGGGTCATAGTCCTCAGGGATGCTTCTCGGAGTCTCTTCGGGTCGTTCTCGGGGGCCTTTTGGGGAGAGTTTTGGGGCTTCTTGGGGGCAGTTTTTGGGGCCTCTTGGGAGCCTCTTGGGGGCCTCTTGGGGGCCTCTGGAGGGCCTCTTGGGGCCTCCTGGGGCCCTCTTGGCGGCCTCTGGAGGCCTCCTGAAGGTTTTTCGATCCGAGAGCTCGAAATGTCGGTTCGGGTCCCCCGTCTGGGCCCCCTTTTGGAGCTATTTTTGGGGCCTCTTGGACCGTCTTGGAGGCCTCTTGGGCAGTCTTGGAGCCTTCTGGGGATGTTTTGGATCTCTCTTGCAGGCCTCTAGGTCCACCTGTTCACGTGGCAACGCAACGAGACTTCTGACACATTATCCCATTGTGCCGCATGGCAGCGCAGGAGATCAGAAACATGCGATTCCACTCTGGCACGCAATATCCGTCATGTGGCAACGCAGGGGGTGTGGGGGGCAACAACATCAAAACACGCCTAGTCTATTCGGCGCGTAGCAACCCAGGAGGGCGAAAACGCATTATCCCACTTCCTCGTCGCTCGGTAAAGTGGCAGAGAAGCTACAAGTGTACTCGATCCGTCACGAGGCACTGCAGGGGGGCAGAACAACACGATTCCACTCTGCTCGCCACGCGGCAAACCAGGGGGCGAAACAAATGCGCATCTATTCGACCTGTCACAATGCAACGCAGAGAGGGGGTGAGCTGAAACATGCTGTATGAATTTAGGGCAAAACGAAATTCGGTTTCACTCTGCTCACCGCGTGGAAACGCAGAGGGGCAAAACATATACATTATGCTGTATCCAGCGCGTGGCAACGCACAGAGGACGCGAACATACGATTCGACTCTAATTCTAGACGTTTCGCGTGACCCCACCCGCGTATCCAGAAACGATGCCCAGACGAGTTGCCCTGACCAGGGATGCGGAGGACAACGCAGTGGAATAAAGGGCTGAGTAAGACGTCGTGCTCCAAGAGGGAAAGAATGCAGGGACCACCTACGCCCAGAAGGCTGGTGGGATTCCCGCCGGCTCGCGCATCCTGATCACCCCATGAAGCATCAATTTCTCTGCGAGTTACCCTGGTCAGAGACATGCATGGACATACAGTGACACAATGATGGGGGCAGACGCCAGGGCACCTGTAAACTTGACGTTCCGCATTTGTCCTAGTACGCTGCAGGGTCTCCCGCATGGACGCCTTTCATGCCCTGATGCTTGAGTCTTGTTTTTCGCGACCGTGGGGGGGCTCGACGAAAGTCAGTCACGCCGCATTCGTTTCGTCGGGCAATGTTCGGGCTCCCTTGGGCAGTTTTGAACGGCCTTTGGGGCCTGCTCCGTGCCATGTTTGGGCCCTCTTCGGGGTCTTCGGGGCCCTCACGGGCTGATCCAGGAGGGCATCGATGAGAAAAGGGTGCGGCCCTCGAAGATGCTCTCGCGTCAGAGGCTGACACCGTCCCTGGGCTTCCACTTGGGGCAATCTTGACACATTGTGGTGTGTTGTGGGGCCTAGCCTGGGGCTCTCTTGGGCCATCTCAGGGCCGCCCCGAGGTCCTAGAAGCCCATCGGGAGCGAGCGGGCGAGAAGCCACACATCCTCTAATCAGCTGTGCCAGTGGCCCAGAGCCCCGTGCAGCTGCGTGTGGCGCGGGACGCGGCCCTCTCCTCATACACTGCGCGCCGTGCGAGGGGCGGAGTCCGGGGGCAATGTGGAGACGGCGACGCGGGGCAGACGTGCAGGAGCGCCTTGCTCCTCTTGCTCGTATCCTCGCGAGGCCTTGGGTGACGACTTCGCTGCGCAAGCGAAACGCTCGGAGAGGCTCTCGTCGGGGCTCCCCGCGGAGCACGATACGTGTGAGGGGTGCGCCGTATTGGGCGCGGAGGCGATGCGGGAGCGCCCCCCATTTGGCGAAAGGGCCTTCCTTTTAAGACACAGTCCGTCTGAGGGATGTGCCGGAATGGGCGCGGAGACGCTATGGCAACGCCCCCACTGGAGCCGTGGGTGGAGCTCCTTCTCGGGCGCGATTCGTGTGAGGGGGTATGGCGAACTTGGCGTGGAGACGCTGTAGGGACGCTCCCACGGGGGGCGTATGTGGAGCTCCCTATCGGGTACGATTCATGTGTGTGGGGGCGTTTTGAACTGCAGCGATGCGGCCACGGGGGCTGCAGGTGGAACTCCCCGGTGGGGCACAATCCGTGGGAGGGGTGCGTCGAAATGGACGCGAGGAGGGCGAGGAAGAGCAGGAGGGCAAGGAGGTGGGGGAGGAGGAACGAGAGTAGCGGAGTGTCCGCGCGTTACTGCGGATTGAGCAAGGAGGCCAAATCCCAGAATAGAATTGGGAGCACGATTGGGTTTTGAAAGATGTTGGCCTTTCCTGGGTATCATTGAGAGGCTCCGTTCGCTCTTAGAGCCATCTTCGAGGCATAGCTTGCCCCTCTGGGTTGCAGTATTGGGCATCGCTGTCGTCTAACCTAGACCATCGTGCAACATGCTGGAAGTCATCTTAGAAGCTCAGGGACAATAGTGGAGCAATCCTGGCATGGGGGAGGGGTCAAGCTTCTGACACGAACGCCGCGACTTGTCATTCTCATGCCAACCCGCCACCCCAACACACAAGGCGCACGCGAGACTCAGCACATGCAGCGGCAGGCATATAATGGATATTCCGTCGATCACCCGTAGCCCCGCCAGCCCATCCAGCAACGATGCCCATGGGAGTTACATTGATCAGGGAAGTGTGGGAGCAGGCAGTGGAGAGAAGGCCTGGTAGCCGTCAAACCGAAATGCGGGATCTGCCTGAGCAGGCCCAGGAGTCAACCAGATATTCCGGCACTGGTCTTTCAGTATTGGAGCCTATTGACAGCTTACTTGGGCAATCTTGGTGCCATGTTGGGGCATATTTGGATTCCTGTAGTGCCATCTTGGGGCCAAGTCTGACATCCTTGCGCGACCCTGGACGCCACTTGTTAGCCATGCTGGATTGACTTGGAGCCGTTTGGTTCTCCGTTTGCCCCTCCTCTTCCACAGGGAATGCCAGCGATGTGCCGCGTGTCGACATCCGCTTTGTTTCTTAGCCAGATCGCTTCGAGTGGCCTGCACACTTGAGCGACTCATCCTGGACGTGGCATGCGCTGGTGGAGTTGTTCGCCTTTTGTTAATTACGTGTGTTTGTGTGTGCGTGCACGTTTCGAATAAAATCAGCAAGAGGAAGCGTTAGAGACGCCTGGACTGTTCATCTCCTCCCGGCCCCTCCCGACAGTCCGAACTGGCTGGGCTGACCTCCAGGGGAAAGGGCTCAGGAGGGGGCAGGGATCTCGCACGCCGAGTAAGCCCCGAGGGGTCGGCGAACTCCTCGCCGTAGCACACTTCCTACCCTTGCAGCATGGAGTGGTGCTCTCGCCCTCGCGCCAGCCACTTTTCTAACCTAAGCTCTCGCTTCCGCGCTGGCTGCGCTCCTGACTGGGCGCATTTCCGCCGTAACTTCTTTGCAGTCTGGAGCTGCCAGTGACCCGCTGACCCCAGCCCCGACCAGACGCATCCGGAGCTCAGCACCGGCATCCATGCCCTACTGCTTCCGTCTAGCTTTCTAGGCTCAAAGCAAGGCCCTGCAGTGCAGGGCCTGGGTATGGTGACGGAGCGGCAGCGCCATATCCAGGCTGCTCGCCCCATGGTACAGTTAACCCGCAAAGTAAGGATCAGCACCTTTCCGAGGCGACCCTCGCATCCTTCCTCTTGGGCCCATCCTTGGCCGCTTTCGCTGGCCGCCCCCCGCGCGCAAAGTGTCGACGTGGCCTTCTGAGGCCCTTGCACCTTTCTCGTTGATGCGAGTTGACTGTAAGCGCCATTCTGCGCTGCCCGCCCTACCGCGCCGAGCACCAGCGATGCCGCGCTCGCGCTCGCGCAAACCAGCCCTCCTGACCTGGTGGTGTGCCGCCGTGGCCCTCGTGTGCACTTTTGTGCTGCTCTCGGGGGCGGCGCTGGCGCTCCACCTCGCGGAGCTCGAGGCCCCTCTGCGGAGAGGCCGCGCGCAGACCGGGTCGCTGTCCTGGGCGTCGGCGCCGGGCCAGCAGGAGCGGAGGGAGCCGCCCCCTCACGAGCGGCCGCCCCCTCACGAGTGGCGGGTGGGCGCAGGCCGCGCGTCGGCCAGCTTCTCTGTGCGGCCCGGCGGCCCGCCGTCGCTCCGCTCCCTGCGATGGGGCGCCGGGCGCGCGCCCGCCGCCGCGGCGGAGGATGCCGGCTGGGAGATGGACGTGGCAGCGGCGCAGCCGCTGCTCGTCTCGCTGGCGCCCGCGGGCGCGGAGGCTGACGAGCCCAGGCCCTGCAGGGTCACCGCCTCGGGCGCCAGCAGCGCCGATCTCGACTGCGGCGGCCTCGCGGCGACGCTGCGCGTGACGGCGCACGAGGCAGGGCCACACGGGGCGGCGTTGCGGTGGCACGTGGCGGCGGCCAGCGGCGCGGCCGTGCTGAGCCTGGCTGCGTGGCTCCCGGGAGCCGCCGTCGAAGGCGTGGTCGACGGCTCTCCGATCACCGCGCGCAGGCGTCCACAAGTGTCGACGCTCTCCACTGGGGGCAGCGCCAAGGCGAGCAGCTTTTTCGATGGCAGAGGCCCTGAGAGGATGCTCGACGGCGACGGTGAGACGGAGTGGTTCGCCGCGAAGGGCACCCAGGAGGCTTGGGTCGAGATCGACCTTGGGGGGGCCCGCGTGGTCAGCGCCGTGCAGTGGCAGTGGTGGGCAGCCTCGTTCGCGGACGAGTGGACCCTCGAGAGCAGAGCAGACGCGGCCGCAGACTGGACCCAGGAGTATACCAGCGGCGCGCCTGGGGCGCGGTCCATGGAGAGCTTCAACCCATGGGTAAGGCTGCCGGCTCTGAGCGGACCAGTGCGCCACCTGCGCCTGAGCATGTGCAAGGGTCACCTGGACCCGTGGAGTTTCGGCGTCTTCTTCGGCATACGCACGCTGGAGGTCCTCGGCCGTGATGAGGCTGTCAAGCAGTGGCGAAGCTGTCCTGGCTCGCCCAATATAGGCCCACCAAATACGGTTCGAAGAACCTTTTGTGGTCTGCACGAAACGGTCTTAGAACATTTCTGGCTGGGACTGTCTCGCTTATGTTCTAAGAACATTGTTTTTGTTCTTCGAACATGGTTGGGGTTCTATTCTGGCTGGGACTGTCTCGCTTATGTTCTAAGAACATTGTTCTTGTTCTTCGAACATGGTCGGGGTTCTGAGAAGATTTCCCAGTAGGCCTACAGGAATGCTGGGACGGTCGGTCCCTGCTCGAGGCTGCCTCAGCGGGGGTGGCTGAGCTGTGGCCAGCGCCCGCGCAGCCCCCGGGGCCCTCCGGCGCGCTGGGCGTGTGGCTCGCGCTGGAGCATCCCCGGGCCCGCTGCTCGCTGGCGCGGGGCGCCCCCGCGCGGCGGCGGCCCGGAGGAGCCGCCGTGTGGCGCCTGGCCCGCTGCGACCTGCTGCTGGCGCCGGCAGGGGCCGAGGTCGCGGCCTCCCTGGGTGTCTACGAAGACTCGGCGGCGAGAGAGGTTCAGGAGGGAAAAAAACACACAGACACAATTAATCGTCGATTTCCCAGAAAATATGGGAAAATATGGGAGGTGGTGGGGAAGACAAAAACCCAGAAAATATAGGAAAATATGGGGAATCTTTTTATTTGTGTGTATTTATTTGTGTGTCCCAGTTTCCCTTCAAAGGTGGGGGGACGCGAGGAGGGGCGGGCCTTTTCTCTCAGGAGGCTCGGAGTGCCCCCCCGGCCTGGTCCGAGAAGTTTTCGGGGCCTTCCCCGAAGACGCAGGAAGCCTCTCAGAAAAGCCGGAGGCCTCCTGAGAAGCCCCGCCGCCTTCTGATCAGGAGGGGACAAAAACACACAGGCACCATGAACCGTCGCTTCCCCCGAACATGTTGGGAAATATGGGCAGGGGGGGGGAAGACAAAAGCGCAGAACACATGGGAAAAGCTCGGGAATCTGGTCATTTGTTTGGCGCGTCCCAGGGCCCCTTCATCTGAGAAGGCCTGTTCCTTCTCGTTTCCCCCCTTTTCGCTCGCCGCCGAGCAGACGGCGAGTTCCCGCAGCTGCGCAGGGCCTTCCACGGGTACTTGCAGGCCGCACGCGGCCGGCCCTTTGGGCAGATCCTGCACTACAACAGCTGGTACGACCTCCGGAGCGCGCCCTGCGCCGACGGCCTCGCGAAGTCTGGCGCGAAGGTCTGCACCTCGCACAGGATGACCGAGGACCGGCCAGGCGCAGAGGGGGGTGAGGGGGGAGGGGGGGAGGCTTCTCAGAGGCGCCCCGGCTTCTTAGAAGGCGCCTTCCAAGACGCAGCCTCCTTCTAAGAAGCCTTCCCCCCTCCCCCTACCCCCCTGTGCGCGCCGCCAAGAGGAGAGCGTCATCCAGCGATTGGAGGCCTTCAACGGTAACCTGACCGCCTCTCGGGGCATCCCCCTGGACGCCTTCTTGCTGGACGACGGATGGGACAACTGGGACAGCCTGTGGGAGGTGGACACGGCGCGCTTCCCGTCCGGCTTTCCAGCGCTGGTGGCCAAAGGGTCGCAGTGGGGAACGCGCATGGGCTGTTGGATGTCCCCGTTCGGTGGCTATGGATTGGCTGGCCAGCGGCGGGTGCGCTTCGGGACGCAGCGTGGCTTCGAGCGCAACCAGAAGGGCAGCTTCTCACTGGCCGGCCCCAAGTACTTTGCGACATTCAGCTCTGTTGTGCGGCGCCGCATCGAAGAAGGGTTCGGCATCTTCAAGTTCGACGGCCTTGGCGGAGGGCTCGGACAGAAAGGCGGGGACGCCTACATGGGCGACTTTGAGGCGATGCTGTCGCTGATCCGAGGCGTTAGGCAGGAGCGAAACGGCGATCAGGTCTGGATCAGCCTGACCATCGGCACTTGGGCGTCGCCATTCTGGCTCCTCTGGGGAGACTCTATTTGGCGAGATGGCCCCGACGTCGGCGGGGAGGGCGTGGGCTCGCAACGCGAGAGGTGGCTCACTTTCCGCGACGCGGCATTGCGCCGCGGACTGATGCGCGGCCCCCTGTTTCCGCTGACGTCTTTCATGCAGCACGGGGTGGTGTGGAGCCGCTCCGGCGAGACCGACGACATGTGGCCCTCCCAGCGCAGCGACCCGCTTGAAGACTTCTGCAACGAGGCTCTCTCGTTCTTCCTGAGCGGCACCGGCCTTCAGGAGCTGTACGTGCAGCTCGAGCTCATGGAGGCCCGCCATTGGGCGGCGCTCGCGGCCATCAGCTCTTACGCCCGCCGCGAGTTGGAGGTGCTCCGAGACGCGCACGCCATCTGGGGAGGTGGAAAAGGTACGGGCACGGCCGCTCCCGGGACCTTTCCTGGACTGCGTCCTGACCAGAGTTTCGACGCGAATCCAGCCGTGGCGACGAGGGCCCCTCAGGAGGCGCGAAAAACCGAAACCGAGGCAATGAGTACAGTCAACCAGCATGGTAAGGATGGGCAACCTTTCCAAGGGTACCCTTGCATCCTTGCCACCTTGGCTCATCAGTAGCGACTTTCGCTGGCCAACCTCGTTCGAAAAACGTTCACATGGGCCTCCAAGGCCCTTGCATCCTTACCGCGCATCCTTCTGATACGGGTTTGCTGTAGCAGTTCCCGGACCATTTTTCTGCTCCTGCCATCGGTGGCTACCCAGTGGCCGGGGAGCCCTACGGCACGGCCGCCTTCAGTGCGGGAGGCGCGGCGCGCGGCCCGGCCCGGGGCATCTTCTGGTGGCGCAACCCGTCGAAGGAGCAGCGGAGCGCCGCGTTCACCCTGGGCGGCATCCTGGAGCTGCCAGACGACCTGATGCGGCCAGAGGCTCGGGCGTTTCGTGATTCTGGGCCCCCTAGATGGGGTCCGAGTAGGTGGGGTCGGAGAATCGCGCCGCATCGACGATGCATCGTCGATGCGGCTCGATGTGCGGCCCGATTTGCTTCACGTCGACGATGCATCGCTGGTGCATCAGCGATGCATCGACGATGCATCGCCGATGCATCGCCGACGTATCGGCGATGCGGCCCGATCCTCCGTCCCCATCTACTCCGACCCCATCTAGGAGGCCTTCATTAATGGGGTGGGGTCGAAAGGCGGAGCCGCGGCAGCAGCAGAGGAGACTGCAAACACCTGCAGGCTTCATTTCCGCTGGCAGTGTGACATGCTTGTTTCGGCAGCTTAGCTGTAACATCAGCCTGCAGTGTGGTTGATCGGCCATCATTCTACCACTTCAGTTTCATACCTTTTACAGAGGGTGGGACCCGGGGTTGCGGGGAAGGGGCTCAAAATGGACCCCTATATGCTGCCCCCTTCTCGTCACCCCCCCATCTATGGCTCCCCATTGTTAATTCCGCAGCGCCCGTCAAGAGGCGCCGTGCTGGGACGTGCGGCCGCTGCGCCCGCACGCCGGGTGCCCCTCGGCCCCGGCGCCCCGGCTGGATGCCGGTCAAGACGGCGGCCGAGCTTGCGGCTGCCCAGGGAGCGGCTCAGCTGCCTCGGGCAGGCTGTGGGGCCCCGGCGAGAACGTCTCGGTCGAGCTGGCGCCCTTCGCGCTGCACGCCTGGGAGGCGGCCGCTGTGACCTGCGCCGTCCCCGGCGGAAAACACGGCGCGCCCCCCCCCCCCCCGTCCTCCTCCTCCTCCTCCTCTCCTCCTCCCTCCTCCCTCCCTCCTCCTCCTCCTTCCTCCTTCCTCCTTCCTTCTTCCTCCTTCCTCCTCCTCCTCCTTCCTCTTCCTCCTTTTCCTCCTCCTCCTCCTCCTCCTCCTCTTCTCCTCCTTCTCCTCTCTCCTCCTCCTCCTACTCCTCCCTCCCTCCCTCCCTCCCTCCCTCCCTCCCTCCCTCCCTCTCCTATCCTCCATCCCCCCCGACTTCTGGGACTCCAAGGGTAGTGTTGTCTCGACGCTTGGAGTTTGGAAGCTCAATAAGTTGTGAGCAGGCTAGAGGCCCGAAGCTCGCGGCACTAATCTCGGCCCTGGTGCTGTTTTTGTGTTTGGAAGTGGAGATTGGCGCAGGCACGTGTGTTTGTGTGTGTGCGTGTCTGTCTGTCTGTCTGTCTGTCTGTCTGTCTGTCTGTCTGTCTGTCTGTCTGTCTGTCTGTCTGTCTGTCTGTCTGTCTGTCTGTCTGTCTGCTTGTCTGTCTGTCTGTCTGTCTGTCTGTCTGTCTGTCTGTCTGTCTGTCTGTCTGTCTGTCTGTCTGTCAGTCTGCCAGTCTGCCTGTCTGCCTGTCTGTTTGTCTGTCTGTCTGTATGTCTGTCTGTCGGTCGGTCTGTCTGTCTGTCTGTCTGTCGGTCTGTCTGTCTGTCTGAGTCTGTGAGCCCGTCTGTCTGTCAGTCTGTCTGTCTGTCCCCTTGTCAGTATGTCTGTCTGTCTGTCTGTCTGTCTGTCTGTCCGTCTGTATGTCTGTCTGTCTGTCTGTCTGTCTGTCTGTCTGTCTGTCTGTCTGTCTGTCTGGCAGTCTGTATTGATCTCCTGGGTTACCTTCGGTTTTCTTCCTGCAGGACCGCTGCAGGCTTCGCGAGCGGGCGAGGTCATTACCCTCGAGAAAAGGGGGGACGCAGTCAGGCCTTTGCTGGTGAGCTCGGCTTGGCGGCGGCTCGGCCTGCGGGCGCTGGTCCGGGTACGTATGGAGCACCTGGCGACCGCTGGTGGCAAGGACCAGTACGGAATGGGAAGTAAGAAGGGCGCTGACCTCTTACTGTGGTGCCTCGAGGCACAGGCGGAGGCCCGACCCACGGACGTCTTCCTGAAGCTAGACCTGAAGGCGGATTTCCACAAACTGAGACGCCAACCTGCCACCGCAGCGATGGCGAGACACGACCCCTCCGTGGCCGCCGCACTGGCTTCCTGGTGCGGAGGCCCAGTGGACCCTTACTGGAGGGACGCTGGCGGGGCACTGCACAAGGTGCAAAGCAGCAGAGGCTTTGACCAAGGCGACCCTTTCTCTTCTGCAGGCTTCTCGGTGGCGCAACGCGATGCTCTCACAGATTGCTGGACGGAGCTCCGGAGGCTGGACCCTGCTGCCTGGCTCTAGCCCTACCCCGGCGACGCGTACCTCGTGGTCGAGGCCGGCCTCTCCCCGAACGCCCTCATTTCAATGGAGGCTGTCCTGGAGCCATACGACCTGGAACTCAACCACGCGAAAACGGCGGGTTTGTCCCCGCGCGGGATCGCGGTCGTGCCGCCTGCGCTGCAACACCGCTACGCGGCAGTTCTTCCAGTGCTCGGCAAGCACCTCAGGCCACGGGGGGACTCTGGGGACAACCCTGCAGCCCTCGGGGCGCGCGCCGACTGCCTCGACAAGGCGGCACAAAAGCTGCAGAAGCTCTGGGACACGCTCTACCAGCTCCACCAGGCGGGCTTGAAGAAGCAAGCTACAGGGTCCTTGCTTCTAACCTACGCCGGCGCCGCCAGCCAACACGCCCTGCGGCAGGAGCTGGCTAGCGAAGGGGCCTCTCGACGCTACGACGCCCGGCTGCTGGGCTGCTGGGAGACGCTGCTGCGGCGCGACTTTGGCGACGAGGCCAAAGAGCTTTCGGGCCTGGCCACGCGGCTGGGCGGCCTCGGGGCGCAACTGGCCTGCTCGCGGCGGAACGATGCCCTCCTTGCCTCCTGGTCTGACGCAGCTGCGGAGTTTGCGAGAGACCTGGGTAGTGGCTCGCTGCGCGACGTGCTAGAGCGCCTGCCCGCTGCCGCGAGCAGGCAAGAAGAAGCGAGGCGGGGCCTGGCCCGGCAGGGGCTGCTGTTGGCGGGCGGCGGAACGCTGGCTGACTTCCTGGCCCACGAGCTCAAGCAGGGCTTGGCTATGAAGAAGCTGCAAACTACACACCACACTGCGTTCTTGCAGCTTGTACTCCTCCCCCAACACGCCATTCTGCGAGGGTAAGCTGGGCCGGGCGCGGCAGCCTTCTGGGCTTCCCCGCCGAGGCGCTCTGCGCGCTTGGGGACGCGCACGGGGAGACATCAGCCCGCCTACGGCTGCACCTCCGGCGGCTGGAGTGCGACCGGGGCCAGCTCGCGGCGGCGACGACCCATTCCTGCTTGCGGAACCCCAGCGGTCAGGCCTGCGCGCGGCCACTGGACGACCTCGGCTACCACGGCGCCACCTGCAGGCACGGTAGACTGGCTCGACGGCTCGGCGGGCTGCTGTGGCGCTGGATTCACGAGGAGCCGCTAGCCGCTCTACGAGCAGCGCGTCCCGTTCTGGTACCTGCCGCGGCTGGGCCACGCTGGGGAGACGGAGCGCGCCCTGCTTGACTTGGAGTGCCAGGGCGGCGACGCCCGCCGTTGGCGACACTCCGCGGCAGGCACCCCAATGCAGCAGCAGGCCGCGGCCCGCCGCGACGGCGAGGCGAGCCGGCGCGGGGGCGAGATGAGCACGCTCGCTACCCTGGAGAGCGCCTCTCCCCATTCGTCTTCGTGGCGGGGGGAGACTTGGCGCGGAAGCGCGCCTCGGGCCGAAGGCCGAGGTGCGCAGCCTGCCTGACGCAGAGCAGGCGCGCGAGCTCGCGCGCGCGCGCGCGACGCGTCCTCGCGCGCGGCCTGCAGGGCGAGCTGGCGCGGCAGCTGCGCGCCGCCGCGGGCTTGCGCTGAGGCGCCGGCGACGCGCCGAGGCGCTGGGGGCAGCGGCTTAAGCGCCGCGCGCCGCCGCCGCCGCCGCCGCGGGCCCGCGCTGGCGCGCCTGAAAGCCATTGGCGACGGCGCCCAAGGCCGCCGCGCGGCGAGCGCCGCTGCGCTGACGAGGCGCTGCTGCGAACCAGCGCGGGGCCCCCGCGAAGGCTGGCTTCGCGCCGCGACTGGCCCGCGCCGGAGCGCTGAAGAACTGGCGGCGGCGCTGGATGGAGGCCACAGCGCGGCGAGCGCCGCGGAGCTGACGGACAGCGAGCCATCGCGGGCCCCCTCGCCGCGGGGCTGCCGAGCAGGCCTGGCGCGGCGCGGCCGCTGCCGGGCCGCGCAGCCCGCGGTGCTGCCAGCGGCGCGGGGCGGTCGCCGCCTGGGGCGCAGCCTGGGGCATTGGGCTGGGGCTGGACTGGCGTGCGCTGTCAGCGGCGCGCGGCGGGCGCCGGCCCCCTCTCTTCCCTCCCCCCCTTTCCAGCGCCCCAGACCGCGCCTTGGTCCGCGCGCCGACTTGAGCCTGTTTTTGAATTCCGGGCCGATGACTACCGTCATCTGTGGGGGGGCGATGACGCCATGTTTGGCGCCAGTGGCGTTTGGAAATGTTTAGGAATGACCGATGGCGGGTAGCAGCAGCATGTAGGTGGCGATCTGCACCACATCGCCTGCGTACACTAGAGTGCCTGCGTGCACCGCGGCGTCTGTGTACACCACGCCGCCTATGTGCACCACGGCAGCCGCGCGCAACACAGCGCCAGTGTGTGCCACATTGTTTGCGTGCACCATAGCGCTTGCGTTCACCACAGCGCCTGCGTACACCACATCAGCCGTGTGCAACACAGCACCACTGTACACCACAGTGCCCGCGTGCACCACAGCGCCTGCGTGCACTACGGCGCCTTCCTG